CTGGAGGATAGGAAAAGAAAAAGGCCGTCACCAAACCCTGTGCAAAAGGTTTAGAGGGATGGGGATGGATTTCAGCAGATGTAGCAGTGGAGGAATTATTTGGAGTTGGGAAAAAGGAAGAATTTGGACTCAAGGTTAAGGTATGCCTTATAAGTCATTCCATATGTGGGGAGCCTTGTCTGAAGTTGCTTCTGGCATTCTGCATTCCCTGCAATGAGACCTTAAATTAGCAAAGCAAGTTTTCAAGTTAGCAAGGAAAGCTGTATGTTTGGGAGTCAGTGGCTGAATAGCAAATAGATGCAGATACAGTCTGTGTGTACGCATAGTTGCAGCATATATCATTTAAGGGAAAACGAGTGTGTATGAGGCTTATACTATATGATGCTATTTTTTAGCAAGGCTTAAATGCTATCAGTGTTGGTGGGGAGACTGGTTGGTTTGTGCTGTCCAGTCACTGGCCATGAGTAGCAGTACTTGTTCAGCCCAGGTCTGTGCCACAAGGGGTGGTAGGCAGCTGCTGGAAAAGGGAACTTGTGACAAAGTTGTGCATTTAATCCCTGTATGAGCTCTTCACCTATGAGTTGGATTTTATGATCTTTGAAGATCCCTTCCATCTCAGAATATTCTGTGATTCTGTGAAAGCAAATGCTTATGGAGAGGAGAATGACACAGCCTAGGAGGTTTAGATGTGGTCCACTTCAGTCCAAACTAGACAGTGAAAGGTAAACAAGCAAAAGTGCTCTTTAGAGGAATATTGGTGTTCCCTGAGCACAGGTTAGCAGCTAGACTTATTGAGGCCATGCCACATGGGAAGAGGTACATTACAGTTGCTTGGAAGAGATAAAAGACACTATTGTTCTATGGTAAATCTCCATGAAAGCGTATTTGTTTCCCTTTTATTTGTTTTGGGGTTTTGTTTCAACATTTAATCTGATGCAAATTTGACAAAAAAAACCTGCATGCATTTTGTTCTGTAAAGCATTGATGCTCTTTTTTTTTTTTTTATGCCAGAAAGTAACAATAGCAGTAAAGCATTGTGTAGGTTATAGAATATTGAGTTCAACTGATCATGTATAGACTTGCAGAATCTAACATAATGTACCCAGACACTGGAAGGTACAATTGTAATATTAAAGTAATTTTAAGAGGATTCTGGAGCACAGAGGACCTTTACTATGTGTCTCATATGTATGTTTTTATTTTGATTAAAACCTGGACATTTTTATTTTTTGAACTAACATCAGTATCGCCTGTTAACACATGCAGCCTGTTGGAACTGACTGCAGCTATTCGTTATGTTGTCCTCCTTCAGAAAATGTCAGGTTTACTAACAAAATTGCTTTCTTGCCTCTTTTAAACTTTGTTTTCAGACTGATGGGTTTTTTTAATCTCACATGGTTCTCTTGCTATTCACATTACATATAAATCTAATGTTGGCCACATGCCATAGAAATTTAATCTACATTCAGATTAAGTCAAAGCCTACCTGGAGCTTTTACTCATGCACCAGCAGTCTGCTCTCTAGTCTTTTCTAGGGTCCTACTTTTACACAGTTTGTTCTTTTTGGTTAGCCCAGAGGAATGTCATATGGTGCAAGTCTCCCCAGGCCTGGAACGTGGACCAGTGACCCGTGTCACCACTTGACGGAATGCAGCACGGCTACTCGTTTTCAGTCAGTAGGCTTCTTTTGGGAAGCACCTATGTTCTGAGCACCTTGCTCATGGAGGTGCTTTCTCTGGCACTGGTGCCAGCTGCTCAGGAAGAGGGGAAAAGAGGCTGCCCCACTCTGCTCTGGCACCACAAGCTGTCATTGTGCTGCAGTTACTCTGGGCCACAGCAACAGTGCAGCAGTAGTATGGTCTGACTGAAATTTCTGGTAAAGAAGGAAATGGGAACGTAACTGGCCTGTTACAATCAAACAGACCCGGTCATAAATACGGGATGAAAATATTTCTGGTTTTGTCTCAGCCAGCATCTGATGTGTACCATCTTTGTGGTTTGACTTTGCAGATGAATGTTGCTTTTGGTGCATTTTCTGCAGTAACCTGGCAGGTTCCTTTGCAAATCCACGCACCTGCAGATGGTTTAAAGAAGGGAAGGATTGTTTCATACAGAGCTTCATAACATAGTTTCTGGTTGCCATCATTTTCAACACATCTAACCAACTCAATTTCCTGTCTTGAATCAACTTTCATTTCATTAAGTCCCAGGTTCTCATTTCTGTTGGTTTGGCTGGGCTCTCTGGCCAATCTGTTTTAATTTTAGAGTTAATTTTAGCCTGTTAATGAAAGAGGCTAAGTTTGGAAAAGACAGTCCTCCCAGGAGAAGGGTCTGTACTTATTTTCCTTCGAATGATAATGTCATAAGGGTTTTGTAGTTTTTATTTTATTTTTTGTTTGTTTGTTTTAGTTTACAAAGTTCAACTTTCTTACGGAAATACTGACAATTTGAACAATCATGACATAGGTATGTTTAAACTCACAAGTGGGCTGCTTTTTTGATAACACTAACAATGGCCCAAAACAGATTAACAAATCAAAGTATAACAGTCAGCTGTAGTGGTTCTGGGTCACCAGAGCTTAAAAAAATTGTTGTTAAACTCTTTGTGAGTTTTATATTAGTGGCCCTTGTATTGCAGGGACAACTCTTTCTGAACTGGTGTTGTGATAAATCTGTGCTGGCATATTTGACTGTATCAGCAGAGTGCATGTCTGAGCATCCCAGCCCACCCAGTCACCTGTACAAATTCCTGCAGAGACACTGAAGATCAAAGTGCATGTTGAAAGGTAATGTTTTTATGCATTTAACTATGCATAACATAGACATACACTTCTTTGACCTTAATATCATCTTTTGGCTGAATGTATCCATATTATAGGAGTGTTAGTATTTCTGCTGATTTTATCTCAAAATAGTAAAAAAAAAGTGGCTGTTACTGATTCCTGTGTTCAGCATATTGCAGCTTACATAGTATTTAAATTATATTTTTATGATTAATTTACTTGAATGACCTGCTAACTTATATTAAAGAAAACTCAAACTCTTCCCTGTGTGATTTTTTTTTAATGGAGTAGCTATCTTAAACATGTAATGGCCTAATTTTAAACTAAGAAAATGTGTAATTTTTTATATTCTAGTATACTGTTACTTGTCCTATGTTTTCCTTATTTTGGTAATAACCTTTGGTTTTGGGAGACTTGGAGCAGGAGACATCTTTCTCCCATGAGATTAATTTGGGAAATAACATTGGTGCAGTTTGTGATGGCAGCTGTTACATCATTCAGAAAGGGGATTGGTTGCAGTATGGCAGTTTTAAAAAAACTGTCAGCCCAACACCAGCTGCTGACAGCTCTGGCACTGGCAAAGGAAGACATAAAACCCAGTCTCCTATTTTCAATGCATTCTGCATTGCCCCAACCACAAATATCTCTCATGGTTTTTAATAAACAAATATCTGCTTATGCACTCAACAGTAGCAAAAGATCAATGCTCCTGCTTCCCATTTTCATAGGGAAACAGGAAAATTGCTCCCGCATGTATTTGAATCATGTTCTGACTTTGGAACTGAACAGAAAGAGGTGTTTCATAAATAAGCTTAAACTTGCTTTTGTTTCAGGCAACCTGAAGCTACTCTAGTCTTCAAATAAAACAGAATAATTACTTTTCCTTAAAGGGGCTCAGTGCAAGTGCCCAAGTTGCATTTCAAATTAACAATTTATGTTAACATCTATTATTAACCTAATAATATTAATCTATTAACAATTTATGTTAACATTATTTAGCATTTAACTGGTAAAACTTCAGCATATTGGACAAATGAACAAAAAGTAGTTTGTATACTGCTATACATGTACTTTGGTAGCATGCAGATATATGGAAATAGCTTAGATATTGGAAATGGCACCTGGAATTCAGTATTCTACCTAGGGCATTTAAATTAGAGGTTATGCATGCTCAAATAAAATGTAAGGTCAGTCAAGTTCCACTACAGACCCCATCTTGAGTGTTTTGTGAAAAAAAGATTTTAAAAAGGCAGGATAATAAAAGCCTTAAACCACTGGAGATTGCTTTGGCTACTTAGATTAACTCAGACATCTTGAGTAGCACTTAAAGTACTGCCAGCATGTCACTTACAGAACTTTATTAATTCAGAGCTTGTCAAAGTTCTGCTCACAAAACTCATCAGCAGAGAACATTACCTTTTCCTAACTGAAATGGTTTGACCAGCACCATTAAGGAATTTCACAGAGTAGACACTAATGCATAGTTGGGAGAGGAAAAAAAGGGAGATGGACACATACACCCTTCTGATGCAAATAAAGTTTAAGTGAGCAAGGGGGGTCTGTCTTAATCATTGAAGGAAACTAGTCTTTGAAGATAAAAATCTGTTGAATTTGTAGCAACCTTTGTGCATCAAATTAGTGTATCAAGACATGCTCTGCTAGTAAGTCTTAGTACATTAACAGTTCTAAACACAGACTGTAGTGCATTTGACTGAATTCCAGTCATTGTTCATATGCAGTTGGATATTGGTCAGTTAAAATGCCAAACTAGATTTTACTTTTAAAAAGCAGACTGTTCAAGTATTGCCTCTTATTTGTTGTCCTGTGTAAAAAAATAACAAGATAAAAACATGGAAGAAAACAAAAGCTGAAGTAAGAAAGATTCAAAACATTAAAGCAGATGTAACTTCAGGTTCTCCACTTGCCAAGTCACAGTTTAAAATCTGTCCTACACATCCCCAGTTTCCTTCCCCCAAAGTGTGCATCCTCAGAAAAGCACTGCTTTGCATGTACCCACTTGTATAGCATATATTTGGAGTGTTTCAAGACCCATAGAAGTCCATTAAATGATTTTTACTATCACTGGAAATAGATATGAGCCCTCCTGAAGGACTTCAGTGTAATGTTCCTCAGTATACCAGGGACCTTCTCTTAAAATTGAAGATTCAATTTAAGCACTTGACAAATGATCACAGTTGAGCCATAGACACAGCAACATTTTTGCTTGGCATGCTACAGCAGAAACTTTATTCAGTTCTTTTTGAAAATATTTGCAACTAAAATTTATTTTTGTAAACTCACAGAAATAAGCTTTAACATATAGGTTGTATACAACTCAAATACAGGTAATACTTTTACCAATAACTTACAAATACAAACTAATGATAAACTACAATTTCACAAAGAATTGTAAACATTTTGCACAATTGTCAGTCCTTTCTTTTAGGCAAAGTGCTCTTTTGATGACAAATAAATTAACACACACATAACTAGAGCAGACTACTTCCAGACAATACAAACAGGTGTTTAATAAGGCTTGTAAACAATGTAATAGTTACTTATGCAGAATCCATAAAAGTGTCTTGCAGGCTAAATAGACGTACATACCTGGGCAAAAATTTTCTTGAAAATGCTTGGCGTGTTAAATAAAAACTTAACATTAATATCTTTCCAATGATATTTTCAATACACTATGACTTAAGGTTACATCTTTAATAGTTTAGATCCCTGACGGAAAGGAATTAGGTGTGACTTAGTGGCAGTTGTGTCATTGAATGGGGTAGCAAAGGCTGAAGTCCAAGAGCTGTAGGTGAATGAGCTACAAAAACAGAAACATTTACCAGTCAACTTCATTGAAAGTAGCAAAAGATTAAAAGTCAGTAAATCCACTGGGTAGTAACAATTCATTGTCCCAACCCTGCAGCATGTTGTGTTTTTTCTAACCCAGCATCTGCATTCCTCCACCCACAGGCCACCCTTAACATCACTGCTGGAGGAAAACAAGCTCAGGCCACAAATGCGGCTCAGCCTGGTTCTCCCAAAACCTTCACAGTCCCTCCTAATCACAAATAGGAGCCAAAGTTGTTGACTTGCTGGGTCATAAGACAAACAAAAACTGAAACATTTTTGACCACCAGGCTCTCCCCCTCCCTCCCATTGTGTGTTACTCTTAAGCTCTCAGAAAATTTGCTGGATTGAGCATACTCACAAGTCCATGGGACAAAAGCCAGGGGGCAGGTGGCAAACAGTTTTCATTACAATTAAGTATTATTAAAATATGTGAAGTAGATGTTTAAATAGTATTTAATTTCTTATTCTTGTTTTAATAGTCTAGAAGAAGCACAAATAGTGGTCTTCATACTCAGATCTTCAGCCATGCTACTGCAGTGAAGGACTACTTCTTTCTTAATAAGGTGTAGATAGCAAATACAGTACTGATATATCCATTAGATTTCTTTAATCAGAACTTGGTGAACAGTTCTTGCTACAGCTGATAATGTTTTTATGAGGAGAAAAACAGCAAAGCTGTTATACCTACCATCCATGTAGCTGTGCAGAGCAGTGAGCATAGTCCCATCCTGGGGTACATATGCAGAGTATGCCATTTCTTCTAACATGGGTGGAGACAACCTGGAGGGCTGAACTGCTGTGACAGGAGCAGTAGATGAATGATTAGGACTAACATGTTTCTTATGGCGTGCTCTGCAATTCTGAAACCACACCTGAAAAAGAGGGAAACATACATCACATTGACAGATTGCATTCAACACTAGCACAACAACAACCTTGGAGCTTATCTTAAGCTGAGTTTGCATAGTTAATTTGGCCTTTGATACGATGCTGACAGTCCAAATGGAGAAATACCTACACGTGTGGTCAAGTCAGGAATGCGTCTTCAGTACCCAGCAGCCCACCAAGGACAGGGACTGGCACAGTAAGGGGCTGGGATCTCCCAGGGCTGGTGTCCCCCCAGGCCAAGCAACATCACCTGCAGCCCCACTCTACTAGGACCACACCACCCAGCATATCCCAGACAGAGTCTTCTCCCTGCCTAGAACTACTGACAGCAAAGCATCTTTCACATACAATACCCACTTGGCCTTTCCACATGGAAAAGAACACAAGATTCCTTTTTTTTTTTTTTTTTTTTAAGGATTGCAGCAGCCGGATTCCTCATTTCTATAAAAACACTCTGTCAATCTTCCAGACTAGAATGAGCCAAGGCAGCTCAAAATTTATTTTTATTTATATTAACATATAAATATATTTTTTATTATATTTTTAAAATCACATTTACATATAAAAATGCATCCACGTGCTTGCTGAGACACATCTTTGAGCAAGGATTCCAAGTTTGTGCTTCAGTTTTTGTTGGAATAGGTATATATTTTAACTCTGCTCTCTAGAACAAATGACTAGATATACACTTGTCCTAATGTCATACCACAGATGCTTTCAAAAAGAGTGCGGGTCTTAAGAACAGACTACTACAGTCTAATATGTATTTGGAATAACTTAATGCCAATTTCTATACTGTTTAGGCTGAGAAGTTTCTTCTTAGAAGACTTAATCCCTCCACACAAAGTGCAAGAGGAATACAGCAAGTTTTCCACATTATGATGCTTGTTCTAGACCTATTCCTGACTAAGGATGTTGTTCAAAGTTAAAAGAGATTAGGACCTTTTTCCATGTTAGAATAACCTCAAAGAAAATTGCAGTTGAGCATTTCCAATGGATGAGTACCAGACTGTGAGTCAAACTTCACACTGTTACCTGTATAACCCGCCTACTCAAGCCTGTTCTTTCTGCCAGTTTCTGAAGTGTTTGTGCATCTGGATTGTTGTCCTGAGCAAACTGTGCTTGCATAACCTGAAAAGGCAAGATATGAGATTGCAGGAGCATTTGTGTTGAAAGCCACATTAGACAGTCTTCTTAGACTAAGGTACTACTCCTTGCCTGTCTTCAGGATTTTTTTTTTTTTTTTTTTTGTGCTCACTAGTCTTTAGAGAGTAAACAATACATTTTAAAAAAAATCCCAAAGCCAAAGTACAAGTCCATGCTATGCTTGAATGAGCTGTGACATTTACCAGAAATTAGAGAAATCCATTCTGCTTGGCAGTAGTAAAAACTGGAAGAAGTCCTCTGTAAGATTGCATTAAAAGAACTGTAGGAGAAAATTCATTGCAAAGCAACTCAAATATGCTCAACAAACACCTATAGCAGCAGACCACAGCATAAAAAGAGCATGATCCACCACTCTGAACTTGTCAATCACTATCAGCATCCTATGTTATATGGAGTAATTGATCTTCTGTGTTTCCTTTGCTTTTCACCAACCCCAGAAACAGAGGCTCCATTGTGGCTGACCTAACCATTCTGGTAGCTTGGTTACTCATCTTTTGACAGAAAATTGAAGTCATCACTTGTCTTAAGGATATAAATTACACCTTTTTTTTTGCTGAAGTAAATGTCAATTTGGCCTGCATCCTGAAGACTTTCATAGGTTTTAAGGATTTGCCCTGTTTATGAAAGTAGGGCTTCATGGATTTCTGCAGGGTATCTTTAGTAATTTCAAAGCATTATTTTGTTTTTTTTGGATTTTGACCCATCAAATTTTGCTTGGCTTCATCTTTGAAGATTCAGACTACTACGTTCCACATTCAGAAACGCTTTGCTTTTGCAGTTTTTCATAGAATCACAGACTGGTTTGGGTTGGAAGGAACCTTAAGAGCTCACCTTGTTCTAACCCTATGCCATGGCAGGAACACCTCCCACTGTCCCAGGCTGCTCCAGCCCCAATGTCCATCCTGGTCTTGGGCACTGCCAGGGATCCAGGGGCAGCCACAGCTGCTCTGAACACCTGTGCCAGGGCCTGCCCACCCTACCAGGGAACAATTCCTGCCCAATATCCCATCCAGCCCTGCCTTCTGGCAGTGGAAGTCATTCCTCCTTGTCCTGTCCCTCCAGGCCCTTGTCCAAACTGCCTCTCCAGCTCTCTTGGAGCCCTTTTAGGTCCTGGAAGGTGCTAAAGAACAAAACAATTAAAAAAGTGTGCACATTCTTTTCTACAAGTACTTTGTGAGGTAATTACGTGCTGCCACTCTGACAGTGCACTTATCCCACTGCTTCTCGTGTTGGAAGTAAGGTCTTATAGCAGCCGCGAGGGATAGGTGCAAAGGTGCAGCAAGCAGATAGAAAGTATCATTGAATAACAAGACGCCATAACACCTCAAACACTTGCTAAAATATGCCACAATCTACTTTAAAATGTTACAATCTACTTCAAACAGGAAAAGAAGGGACATGGGAGTTTCAATGACTGCAGCTGGGAAGAAGTCCTGAATACAGTTCTCATCTTAATGGCTGATCTTATCTCCCTTTCAGTTTCTGACGGGGGGGGGGGGGGGGGGGGGGGGGGGGGGGGGAAGGGGGGGTGGTTCCCTTTTGCTGAAGTTCAAGCTCAGTGTCTAGAGCCCTTGCCCTGTGCACCTGTTTAGATTATTGCTTATGTGCTTGTTTTGTGTTAACACCACTTCTTGGCTCCAGTCATGACTCTAATAGGAACCCAATCTTTGAACCGCTCCATGCCCATTTTTATAGTACCATTTTAACACTTCACATGTTATTACACCTCAAGATTAGTTTCTCAACTGCTTTGACTATAAGAGGACAGGCCAACAAAACCCACATTTTGACCAGAAATTTAACAGACCTGTTAAACTGAAGGCAAGAATGTACAGCCAGGATTAGGTAGAAAGTCACAGCTTCCTTCTCACTACAGGTTAAGACCTCTAAATCTTGTCTCACGATCCCCTCTTTCACTGGGGGCAGGGGTCCTATCTTAGAGTTTTTCCCTAGAAAGCCAATTTAAGTGGTTATCTAGACTTTGAAATAGCTCTGGACTGTCTCAGTAGGAGTTAAACTCTTGTCAAGGCAACAAAAAGACAAGAAACCCGGAAAGCGGGGGAGATACTGGCACTACAACAATTCCAACTTCCATACTATTAGTGTCTTGAAGTCACATAGAGTATCTATCTTTAGGACAACTTTTCACATTACATAATCTAAAAAAGATTTTGTTTTTATTATGCTTAGTGGTGTAAATGCCTGATCAAATAGATTTCATCAATCAAAATAGAACCACCTCTTTTGTTTACACTCTTCAGAATTCCGACCTTCCTCCAGAGAAATAAAGAGCTTGAAGCGTATTATTTCATGTTAAACTTCCAGAAACATGCTGTGTCTTGATAGAAAAGCTTGAATGCTTTAAACTATTTAATAAACTTTCTCCCTGTATGCATAAAATTTTATATTGGTTCAGCATCCATACCCTGCATTACCCTGAGCTACACACGTTTTTAGCACATTCTCTACCTGGAGTTGATCTGCTGTGAAGCTGGTCCGAGCTCTTTTTGCTGGTTTTGGATGATTAACATCTTGTTCTGTTAGTAATGCTCCTTCCACACTAATCCCATTTCCTGAAACATTAAAAAGAAAACAACACTGCCTTCTAAACATTCACAATGATGTTTTAAGTCAGACTGTTCTCCAGCAATAATGAGCAGCAGTTGATCAACTGAATTTCAGCTTAAAAAAACCCCAATCTATTCAAAACTCCATTGATCTAGCATCATAAAACATTATGCCCGAAACAGTTCCCTTGCAAGTAAGGGAAGAAATAAATCTAACATGATATTTTATCAACAGGATATGCTGTTACTTTCTTTTCTTTAAGATACAAAACAAGTTCTGCAGACTAAAAAAACAACAACCAAATAAACAATCCCCAAAAACAAACAAACCAACCCCACCAACCTAATCCAAAGCAGCAAAACCAAAAATCCCCTGAATGTGAAATAATTTACCATTACTTTGATTCAAGTACCTGTACTTCCAGTCTTAGTAAAACCAGCCAATTATCTCCCAGTATGGAAAATGAAGTAAACCCCAATAATTTAATTAAATCTGAACCACAAACATAGATCTTAATGCAAGCAGCATGGTACCATTTTCAACTTCTCTTTTCAAATTGTCCAACATGCAGTCGTAATGGACTCTGCAAAGGACTTTCTCCTCGACCAAAGCAAACTCCTCTCCAGTGGAGAGCTGTCTCTTGCAGGAGAAGCACGCGAAGCAGGCCAGGTGGTACACGTTCCCTTTAGCCCGCCGCACCCAGTCGGTGGAGTGGATGTGCCGCCCGCAGCGGGAGCAGCGGGTGCCGTAGCGCCTGCAACGAGAACGGCAGCGGGGAGACTGAGACACCCACCCGGGCAAAGCCAAGCTCCGGCAGGATTAGAGCTGAGCGGGTTGTGGCAGCGCAGCTAGAGCCCACGCCATGACTGCATTGGCACTGCAAAAAAACCCAAACCAAACAAAAACAACAAAAAACCAAAAAATCCCCAATTACCCCAAAGAAAATCCCCAGCAATTTTCTATATAATAGCTTAAGGCAAGACACTACTGAAATACAGAGGTTAGTATTTTCAGAAGGCAAAGAGCAAAACTGAAGCATTTTGACTGCTACATGAATTCATAGCTTCTCACCATTCCTTTTATAAAGATTATTACTCTTAAAAGCTGAAAGATGGAAACAGCATACTGTTAAAAATTCTATTTTTCAAAAGCTGAAAGATGGAAATAGTGGACTGTTCAAAATTCTTCCAATTTTTAAAATGTATTTCACATTACTCTAGTGGTAGTCTGAACTAACATATTTAACTAGATTATCCCTTTACTAATCTTTCAGCATCTTCAGCAGACAGGGGAAAACCTGCATCTTCATAGTTATTTCCTCAATTCACATAACATTATGATTTTTAAATAAACTAAAAAGTCTGCATTATTACACTAGAAAATTTATATTTGAAGAGGAAAGTAGCCACCAAAATATGTTTATTATTTAGGTAAGAATTTGTCCCAAAGATCTTTGCAGACCAAAATTTTTTTCAAGTCCACAAAATTTAGTTTTTTTCAGAAGTTTACAGCATTCAGCTTGCCCCCTCCCACTCTGTGTCAAACTTGACTAGCTGGGTGCAATCTATTCACTGCACAGCTGAGAATCCCGGAAATAGTTTGGTCTAGCAATCAACTAGAGAAGTACTAGCAATTGCATCAAAATTAACAGCAGCAATTTTTGCTGCTTTCTGGATCAGGGACTTTGCATCCTGGATACTACATTGCCAACATAAATAATATTCTCTCCCTTACAAGATTAGCCTATAATTTTGAAACCGTCACATTCTAAATCAAACTGATCTCAGAAAGGTATAACTGCTGAAAGCTTATTTTAAATATAATGAGATTTATTCTGGGTTGATTATGTAGCTCCTTGTGATGCCTTTAGCCCCACACCAGTGAAGCGCTACTCCAAACAGATAATTTCAATTTTACATTGCATTCTCACTCAGCATTATCCAAGGATGGTTCTTTACATGTACAATGGCTTTACAACCACACTGTGGTAGGGACTCTTGACATTTTTTCCCCTCGGTGCATGTAATGTAAATGATGGTATAAATACAGCAGCTATGTGCAACAGGGGAAGGGCAGGTTGGAGAGCAGCAGTCACATTACACATATATAGGGTTCTCCAAGTCTCTCCTCAAGAAAAGTCAGAGTTTAAACTGCCAAAAATAAACCTAGTAAATGAAAAAGAAAGAGCCTCAAGTGGATTTCAGTTGTGGCTGAAGTGAAAAGCAACAAGCAAGTATAAAAAGTTATCTGATAAATTACATTCTTGGATGATATACCTGAAATAATCAAGTTTGCAGAAGATATCTTTATCTTTGATGTAGCAGCTGGTGTGCCTTCCCAGGGATGTTCTGCAAACACTGCATGAGAGGCAACGCACATGCCAGCAGAGGTCATTTACCTGCAAAAACCCAACAAAAAACCACCTCTCAATACCTGTACTACCAATATTGCATTTTATATTTACAAATTTTTTTTCTTCAGAATTGATCAAAAGTTTTATGCACCGTGATTCACAGAAGAATTATCTTGAATGAAAGACATTTTCCCTACAGAATTACATGTATATTGAAGGTAAACTAGTTTGATTTGAGTCTTCAGAATAAACTTTCATGGGTTTGTAATTAAAAGCAGTAGAAGCAGAAGCAAGAGATACAAGTTCTATGCAGGTGTTTCATGCCCAGTTCTCTTCTCATAGCACTAGACTAAGAGAGCAAGTTTTGGCCTTTTGTGACCTTGGGAAGCAACTAACTTACACACTTCTATTTCCTAGTCTTCATAAATTCCTAACAAAAACCGAATGTTGTCAAGATTTTTCAAATTTTAAAACATGAGTATTGAAGGGGAAAATGGTCTGTCAAACAGAAACACACCATGAACCACTCCTCCATTTGTCAATTTCTGTTAAAGCAGAATTGGTGAATGGCATCTGAGTTTCAAAACAGCAGCAGGTGTTTTAATAGCAAGTTCAATATTTCTTTAATATGTCCATAGCAGAACTAAACATAGTAATGGAATGAGGTAGAAATCAGCATTTTTGAAAATGTACATATAATTTTGGGGCATATAAAATAAATAAAATGAGAGCAATTATTTTCATTTCTGATTTCCTATAAAAGGAAGTATTAATTACACAGACATTGTGCATCACCTAAATTAATCATTTGATAACCAAATACTCCCAGTGACCACAAAAATTAAATAATAACCCTCCAGATAATCCTATACTGTATAGGAGGAATTCTGAAAACCAAAGAATGCTTAAGTTTAGATTTTTTTTTCCCACTGAGCCAATTTCTCATCAGCCCATATATTCCCTATGGAAAAGCAGATTTGAGGTAATCTGGAATATGCCTTTCATCAGAGCATGGCCAGACAAACCTCAGAGGAGGCAAGGCATGGACACCGACACCCACGCTGGGATCACCCATTTCAGTCATTCTTCAGGCTGTAATATTGCAGTTTGCCCAATGCTTTCCTAACCCTTATCCTTGTTGGCAGCCACCTTCCCACGTGCTGACAAGTTGACACCCCAATATACGAAGCTGTTGATAGTAGTTAATAGCTGTCACCAAACTCACCCTGCAGCCATCTGTCAGAAAGGCCGCAGAGTGGAGGGGCAGCGCTGAGCCAGACTGAGCCTGCCCTGCAGCCAGTGCTGCTGTGCCAAGGCTCCCTGGGCATCTCTAGGTCCGCACCAAGCCCCAGCACGCAGCTCTGCGCAACGTGAGCTGACATCCCAGCCACTCAGAGCCAGCTACCTCTTCTTCAGAGATCAATGCTCTTCTGAAGAACGGGACTCAGCAGCTTCCGTGGTTGTCCCATTTAATGTCATTTGTCCGTGTTCTTACTTGTCAATTGACAGGGATAAAGTTGAAAGGTGTGCTGCTGTTGTACAGTAGCATATCGGCATCGATTCCTCTCTGCTTATAAAAGAAGCAGTAACAGCTAATTTAAACTCAAGGCTAAATAATTTAGAGGTCTTTTGCTCCAAGTCCCGTTATCCTGTTCAGATAGGAGACAGCAGTGATCAGTAAACTATACATGAGTTGCCAAAACGTCACGGGAGCTAACAGAACTGAAATCGAGTTCAAGTCAGTTTTGTTCCTTGTCCACCCGCCTGTTCTGTGCCAGCCCAGGCTACTGCAAGGGGGACGGGGTCATCCGAACCAGGGATGCGCGGCAGGTCCTGCGCCAGCCCCATTTTAAGGGAACACTAGCCCCTACAGGCAATTTCGTTAAACCTCCTCAGCTCAACCAAGATCTTAACCGGATGATTTATTAACACCACATATGTGCTTCCAGGGGTGTCACCCGCTATCACTTTGCAACTATACAACTTTGTTTAAAGTTGATGGAATCAACCGTCTTCTGCAGTGATCGTAATTCTCACATTTGAAAGGAAAGTCGGCAAAAATCTGACCTAGAATAATTTTAACGGCTATAATACAAAAGGCAAACAAACTTTCCCCTCACCCCTCCCCCCGCAATAACACTTCATGTTTAAAGCCACTTGGTTTTGCTTGTTTTTAAATTATCTTACTCGGTTCTGATTTCTAAGACAAGAGAACAGCTCTGCACGCACGCAGCTAGTTTTCTTCAAATATGTTAGTTAATCACCTTTTGCAGGAATAACTTATGCCATTTCTCAAGAGGCAATTTTGGCTTTGAGACTCACGACGTTCCCCCCAGACCTACTTCAGTAAAATGCTGGTCGCGCCGCCGCCGGGACCCCTCGTTCCATTCTCTTTCCCGCTTCTCCCGGTGCGTCAGGAGCACGCAGCTCAGCACGAACAGCGTCACCCGAAACACCGACAGCAGCTAGGGTCCCCTCTCTGGCCCCAACACCGCGAACAAGCGCACTGGGACTCGGCACTCCCTTGTCCGTGGCAGCTCCGCGTTGTCCGGGGAGGGTTGAACCGTAGCGATAGGACGACCCGTAGGGCTGTACCCTCGGAGCCCACGGGGCCCGGTTCCCCGAAGCTCTCCGAACACTACCGGCGACCCGGGTAGGCTCTGCCTAAGCGGGCCGCCCCCCGGCTTCAGCGGCAGGGGAAGTCACCAGACGAAGTGGGCTCCGGCTCGGGCGCCCTTACCTTGAGCAGGTACTTGTCCACAATCTCCAGGCCGCAGCTGCTGCACACGCACTTGCCGGGGGCGCAGCCCGAGCCTGAGGCCATGGACCGCGGCGATGAGGAGGGCGACAGGGCAGCGGAGGAAGAGCAGGAGTCTTCGTCAGCTGCTGCGGGGCTGGCCTGCGGGAGCGCGGGGAGACTACGGTCAGCACCCCGCCACGCTCAGGAGCTCCGCGCCGGCCCGGTCTGGCCCACCGACGCCCGTGGGTCCCGCCAGCTCTCACCAGGACTCTGGTGGCGGCCGCGGTGTCCGCGAGACGCGGCGGGAGCGCCACGGCCGAGGCCACCAGACCCGCCGGGCTGCGCCAGGCGCCCGAGCCGCGCCGCCCCCCCGCCCGCGCACCTTCTCGGCCGGGCCCCCGAGCGCGGGCAAGTCCTTGTCCTCCAGCCTGCAGACGAACATCGTGTCACTCTTCCAATACATGGCCCTGCCCTACCACATACCAGCCCCCGGCGGGCGGCGAGCCGGCTCCGGGGACCCCGCGCCGGTCTCTGCTCTCAGCGCCTGCAGGAAAAAGTTTTGTTTTCAAGTGGGTGGACCTGCCCCGCTGGCCTCACCTCCTGCACAGAACCCGCCTTCCAGCGCGGCGGGGCCGTAATCTCCACTAGCGAGCCCGTGCGGATTTAGTGAGGGGAGGAGGAACGGAACCCCCCTAACATCAACAACAAGAAAAAACAACCCCCCTGAGAACCCCCTCACTTCTCTTAATCTTTTGCCACAGCTTCCCCCCACCACCCCAGTCTAAGCGCACGTTCCAGTTACATCTCCCTATCAGCGAAGAAAACAAACACGGAGGAAAGCAAGAGCCAGTGTGAGCTATTTTCCCACACGCCTAAATCCCAAACCCCAAGCGAATCCGGTAGTTTAAACTCACAGCTCCTCCATCTGTCTCACTACCTCACCTCCTGCTTGCACCTCCCATAATAAAACCTTTCTCATTTGGCTAAAATAGAAGGACCTGAGCAGTAGAAGCACTCCTCCGGCTCCAAGCTCCCACAGCTGCTGCTGATTAACACCGGTGTCCCGGTGGCACCGCGAACAGAGGGTGCGGAGGCCGACTGGCCCTCACTACCTGCAGAACCAGACGTCATCTCTCCTTAGAGAGGTTGTGGGTTACGGGCACCCTTTCTCCACGATCACAAGTTTTGTCCGCAGAGTTCCCTCACACCAAGAACCATCGGGGTGCTCTCGGAATATTAGAGGAGAATAAAGCAGTAGCTTGTCCTTTGCAGGTGAGATAAATAACCGTGTATTTGCTTCTAGCCACATGTTTAACCAGTCAGCTGCTTTTAATTAAACTCGTTGTTTAGTTTCCATATTTCCCCTCACCTCTGTGGTTCAGCCTCGCCTCACCACGGATGCAGGACGTACTGTTGAGCCTCAGTAAAGTGACCTGAGAGAATTGCCCCTACTTTTATAAACATGATGGATTTGATAAAAGGGAATTCTGCGTTTGAGGAGCTGTGTGGAGGGATAAGCCCCGTACTGTTCTCCCACTAAAAAAGATGATCGTTGTTTCAAATTCTGGGACCCGATCTTGCGGAACCGTAACTCGGCTGTGCCGAATCCCGGTACAGCCGGGACGTCCCATCAATTATTCGTTCGTCCAGCGGTTTTAATCGATCTAACCGTGGGCAGAATCTCGTTGACATCCAGTTCGCTGTCCCTGACACCACTGCCTCAGCGAGGCAAGCAGGGCTTTGGGGTTTGCGATGGCCGTGACGTGGCTCGGCGCAGCGCGACTGACGCCCGGCCCGGCGTCCAGAGCACCGGGCGCAGGCAGGGACCACGGACAATGCCGGCCCCTGGCCCAGCCCTGACCAACACCTGTGCTGACCCGGAGTCGGCTTTCTGGCGTCTCCCCCGAGGACCCGGGGTGTGCTCGCTCAAACTCCGACCCAAATGCAGCCCCCGATCCAGCCCGAGCACCCGCCCCGCAGGCGACGGGCTGCGGCCCCACAGAGCGTCCGGTAACAGCACCTCGCGCTCTAGAGGCCCCTGCAGCAGGGTCACCCTTGGGCTCTGCTCCCTGTCCGCAGCAGTGCAGGTCGGGGTGCCAGCGGCCGAGTGCTCGGGCGGCCCCGCGGGTCGCGGCGGGGTGGAGCGGAGCGTTCGGCTCGGAGCAGGACCAGCGCGGATCCTGCCGAGCCCCCATCCTGCCCCCCACGCGGATCTCCCCATCCGTGACCGACAGAAGCACGACAGCACAACTGTTGTCTGTCGCAGGTAGCACGACAGAAAATGAGCACCTGGCGGGGGGCTCCGAGGGCTGCGTTGCGGCGGGGCCAGGCCACCGTGATGAGAGCCCGTGGTGAGCTCGGGCGCGGCGGATCGGGCACGGCCGGGAGCAGTGTCAGGGCTGTTGATCGTCTTTGCTTTTCCTGCGCCTTCAACGAGATAATTAATGTGGTTGGTGCGCGCTCCGAGAAGGGCTGCAGGTTAGATTTCTATGGAACAAGCCCCTTCCTATGCGCCTTTTCTCTCTGGAAATACAGCGGTAGGAGTCAACAAAGTCAGTCTGCGCGTTGTTTCCCGCAGCGATCGGCGATTACAAGCAGCGGTAATTCATACTGCGATGTTCGGAGGAAAACCAGCGTGAGAGAGATCTCCATGTTTCGTACCGTGTCCGGAGCCGGCTCCGCCAGGTGACGAGCGGGCGCGGCTGCACTGGCCGCCCGGGCTCTCCGCCCGCCCCGAGGCTTCGGGGCAGCTCCGCGCAGCGCGAGGGTCTCAGCAGAGGCGGGGCAGGGGACGCGCTGCGGGGTGCGGTGCTTGGCGGGGCTCACCCAGGGCCCTCTACGATGGCTGCGCGGAGTCGCAGACTGGGTCGGCCAGCCCGGGGCGCGGGAGGTTCGGGGAGTCAGGAGGAAAACACGCCCAGAGAACAGTCCGTCAGCAGATCTGGGCTATTGTTATGGCCGGAGTGGCTTCTCAAGAGGTGAGCGGTTTTGCCGAGCTAATTGGAACGAGGCGTTATTTCTGAGAAGCGGTCAGAAACGCGATAACGTGTACGGGGAGGACGTGGGAAGTATATGGGCTTGGTTATCCGGGGTACACTTTGGGCCGTGCACCTTTATCACTCATCTCTCCGAAGTCCAGTCTAAACTTCATAGCTTAAATTACACGCCCTCGGTATTTTAGTGAATATTTCCTGTATCGTTTTCTGAAGAGATGGAAACGGGCAGACCCGCAGGCTCTAGAGAATTCCCGACTATTGCGCACCCTGGTCTTTCACTACCATCTCTGTGCACATCGGAGGATGTGTCCCCCTTTGGGGCGCCGGGTAGGACCCCTCGGCGGGTCGTCGCGGGCTCGGCAGAGACGGGAGGGAAGGGGAAACTGCCGGCGGTGGGCAGGGTGGCCCTGGTCTGATCCTGCTGAGGCTGAGAGTGGAGAAGAGCGAGGGACTCCAGCGGAACCCTCCGACGGGGTCTGTATCTGGTTCTGCTTCCCCTCTCTCAGGAGTTATACCAGGTCCTTTGTAAGTGGTTGCGCTGACCACATAGCACATAGGAAAGATCTCTTAAATATTTGACGATACGCTACAGCACGAAGAAAATACTGAACGCGGAGAATTAGGGCTGTTTTAACGAGAGGTGTTGGCACATGGACTCCTTCATCAGAGACTGCACCGTGCTGCAAGTGCATGCAGCTGGGTGCTTCTCCCTGGAGTCTTCTTCAGCGACACCGGTTCTCCCGTTAAAACAAGTTCTGTAAGAAATGAATACCGCCACTGTGGTCAGCTTACAAAAAACGGGCACCGAGGCCAGGGCCACGGTAAACCGGGTGCCCAGCCCCGGCCGGTCCCGCTGGGCATGGCGCTGTCGGTGCCCGAGCCATGCATCCCAGCGCCCGCCCGGCGGGTCCCTCCGCGCTGCCGGCGGGACGGGCGCGTCGCAGGACTGGGGGGACCGTGGGGAAGCACCGTTCTCTGAGCGGAGCGCCGCCCCATGTCCCCCCAGAAGCTGCTGGCAGGAGAACTCGGAGAGGCGGGACGGCTCAGAGAGGGAAGCCCGAAACCCTCGGGACAAGACTCTTCCCCGGAAGCTCCCCTCTGTTGTCTCAAACATCTCTTTGCACTACTTGGGTGTTTGTACACCTGCAAGTATCCAGAGGTTTTTCATCTGTAGATCACCGTGTCTTGGGCTGTGGAGCCTCTGTGGGCTGTGGAAGAAAGAACCGAGCCAGCGCCCTCAGGCTTGCTCTGTGAGTTTGCACTCCCACTGATCCCAGCCAGTGGTAAAAGATGCAGGGTTTGGACTAGCCCTGAATAATTGACTCTGGGCTGATTTAACGGGAAGGAAACGAACCCAGTCTCTTACCAGTCACTCGTTTACCAAATCAATACAATGCACTTTCCTTGGGTCGGGCTGTCTGTCTCCGGTTTGCGGGTCTAGGATCTTTCAGGGCTGCAGACAGTAGCTTTTGTTCACGGCTCTTCTAGCCTAGAGTTAGTTCTCTGTTGCTTAGTCGTGAGTGGCAAGATCAAGAAAAGGAAACTGTATTCCTGAGTCTGGGGTTCCCCTACCAAGACCAAGAACATGATGCAATTTCCAAATTTTTTTAAAACTTTTTTTTTTCCTTCCCTTCAAGAGGGGTCTGGGGCAGGGAGACAGATGGCAAGAAAGGAATCAGTGAGATGCAGCCCTGCATGTTTTTAGAGCGCTGGCCCTTGACTGCGACCAGAAGTGCAGGGAGTAGTTTCAACATACCAGTGTGGATCTTCTTTTATTTCAACTCTTGGTCGCTGCACTCTGGACATACTATCTGGATGAAAGCCATGCCTGTTCAAATCAAGTGTTGCATCCCTGCATTCCTGAAATCGCGGTGAACACTTGATGTACAAGTTGACTTTTTAAGCCTCTATGCTAATTGTGTCATGCTGTCACTCAGGGAAAGTGCTGGGGACAGAGGAAATTAGGCCAGCGATCAGATTATGAAAAAGCATTTTGCCCCTAACATAATGGAAGGCAAAGACAAACTGGAAACCATGGCGGGTTGTTTATATATACACAGGCACAACATTGTAAGGACGTCCGGGTATCGGTGAGGGCCCGAAAGACATCGGGTGTGCCTGCCTTATTCCTTTCGCTTCTGTTCATGCGATGAATAATCACTCTCTGGAGGAGACCCGGGCCGCCAGGAGGGATAGCCCGTGCGAGGGAGGCCGGGGCCCGGGCGCCGCAGTAGGCTCGGAAGGTTTTCGGCTCCTTCGGCTGTCCTCCGTACGGAAGGCCCTCCCCGGACGGCCTTTGGGAAACACCCGAGGGGTGCGGCAGTAGGAGAGCTTCCCTAGGAGTTATCTCTGCTCCTCGCAGGCTGTCCAGCTGTTCCGAGGGTCCCTCCGCCGGAGCCGCACCCGGCTGGGGTCAGTGCCACCCGTCTGCCCGTTCTGCAGCTTGACCCGCAGGACACCGCGCGGCCCGGGGAAGGGGGGGAGGCTGCTCCGGGGCCGGCGCAGGTGTTGTGGAAGCCCTGTACTCTCCCAGCCTCCCTGCGGAACCCTTTC